CCCCCCCCCGTCACCTTACTCTTAACCTCAGCTAGTGATTTTACCTCTGGGCTGTTGGGCATTTTCTACAGGTAAAATATATGAAAAGGTCTATACCTGATATTTATTAAAAGCAATAGTCACATGCTTATTTATAAGGAAGAGTGAATTTCGATTTAAATTTTGGATACTTAGGAAAGAAATCAATTTACTTTATGTGTTCAGCTTTATAACTATTTTTTTTTCATTTCCTTGTCTTTGATCTTGTAGCTTCTGGATCTCCCTGGAATCATCGAAGGTGCCAAGGATGGCAAAGGTAGAGGTCGCCAAGTCATTGCAGGTGAGTAGTCCATGGCTGTCATTCCAGGATATAGATCATCCCCTTCCCTGGTGCTACTCCGCATGTTACTTCTGGCTGCCCACAGAACACCACAAGATGAGAATTTCCATTACCGTGGAAAATTTTATTGGCCAGCACTTGCTCTAGGTATTAATTCTTTTTCATTTTAAAGATTGCAGATTTGTTCATTTAGTTTAAAGCAGTCTTCTTGGATTAGAAATTCTTTGGTGGAATATAATTCACTTTTTCTCCCTTGTGGTATAAGTAAGTATTGGTCAGCAGTTCAAATCCACGAGTAGTTCTCTTTTATCTTTATATCTAATCTGTCTGTCTCTCTCTCCCCCAGCAGCTGCTCTGGGGAGAATGATGAGGTGGTCTGCTGCATAAAGATGCGCAGCCTCAGAAACCCCAAGGGGCGTGTCTACTCCGCTCTTCACAGTCACTGAGTCAGAATCAGGGTAGTGGATTTTGGTTTTATTTTTATTCTGTATTTTGAAGCCCTTTAGGTACCTTGAATCTCCTCTTTTTATGTGTAGTGATAGCAGAGGATCCCCCTTTTTCCCGTTGATTTTTGTCCCTTCTTATCAGCTCCTTTGCTGTGACCAGCATGTTCCAGGCTGCCGTCACGTCTTGCCTGTACTAAAGTTACAGCTCCCATTACCCTGCTTCTCTCTTTGCGGCTATGTAGTGGTTTAAAAAATTTTTTTTAATCCAAAGCTAGAATGAGAAGTCAGGTCAAAAACCTTCCCTTGTCTTTCCATTATTTGGTATTTGTATTTCCGTTATTTTGAATGCGACCCAAGGTCTGTATAATTTAATCTTCCAAGACTACAAATAACCTTCTTCCATTTTTCATGGG